ATAATATCATTGGATTCAAATTTAATTCCATCCATTACAGTAACCCACTTGTAACCTACTGTACAGCAGAGCGACATCCACGACTTACCCGCCTTTTTTATTATACACGGGATATACYATAAAAAAATAATAAGCTACATATATAAAAACATTAAAAACATATATTTTAATGAAATAAGTTTAGCAATTTCCCAATCTACATTGTTACTATGGTTACAACGTACCTAAAAATGTAATGTCAATCAATTTAAATAAAACCATTATAAATGTATAAAAGTCATACACTGCAAAACTCATAAAGTCATAAGTATTACTCATTTTCAGGTATTTATTTTTGTTAACAAACATGATTTTTTTTTCAATAATTTATAATTAAAATATGATATCTATAAATTATTAGTCATTTGCATCTTTCTTGCATGACCTGATTAATTGATACTTGATTTCAAAGGTATATACATTTTTTTATTTCCAGAAAGAATAAAAAAAAATACGATGGCTGATGGTGAAAAGTTAAGTCGTAAGATGATTTTTCCATACACATTCACATCTAAAGTTGTACAGTTTCCGTTCAAACTACATTTAAATAATCATTGGATGTTCCCGTGGTTAATGGGAGCAACTGTAATTGTTTCACCTATATTTTATCTCATACAGAAAGCTGCCAACTCTGAAGCTAATGTAAAGTTGTGGGCCGAGAAAAGAAGGAAAGAAGAAGAACATTACAAACATAAGTGGGATTAGACAAGATTGTACTATTTAATTAAATAAATTGTATTTTGGTTWATTTTAAACAAATAAATAAATGTTGTTGTAATACTATTGTAATGAATTTTATTACAGAAAACAAACGACTGATTTWTTTTAAAGGTATCAACATTTTTATGTCAAAGTATAGAAAAGGAACAAAGAATTATCTATAGTAGCGGGACAAGCTCGTGACACTGCTTCCAGGTCAAGAGATAAACAGTGGTGTTCCCAGGAATTTGGTATGGGGGGGGAGGATGTCATAAATAAAAATGTATTATTTTTAATCTTTATTATTATACAAAAAAAAAAATTAGAGATCCAAAATTCAATAATGTTTGAAGACTAAAAAAAAGTCCAAGGGTGGTATATAAATCGCCCATCATCCTCCCCTGTGCACGCCACTGGTCATAAATACTCAAATAGAAATATACGAGTATACTCTATTCGGAATGAGATCGTACTCGGTGGCAACCAGTTTTCATCCGCAGCGGTCAGACGCTTTCCCCATCTAGTCAAACGTTAAATTATTGTCTTTATAGCACTGCGGAACGAAGCGCAGAAGTCGGCCGCCGAAGTACGATCTGATTCCGAATAGAGTATTGAAGTTATATCGATACCAAAAAAATTTTCATAAAATTATAAATGTTAGGTACACCTGAAAACACTTACTGTTTATTTAATAATTACAAATTCTARAATTGTTAGACACAGCCATAGGCACCGCTAGGAACTTTGTCAGGGGAGTGCACCGTGCATAGTATACTTTGATTTATAAATAATGTTTAAATTATTTTAGTTAAATACATAGAAATATTTTTTCAAATTAAATGACGATAAAAAGTTATTTTTGTTTTTTCGTCGGATACAAAGTTTTTAATAGATAATTTTGCAAAAAATATCTTTTCAATACCATACATTTTTTTTTTTTTTTTTAAAGCCAGGGAGGTGCAATTGCATTTCCTTGCGGCGCCCTTGGATACAGCATAACAATAAACAAAAAAAATATTTAAATAAGACAAAATAGCTTACTGTTAATGGGTTTGTGGAACCTGACGTCCATGCAGTATGCACTATTTATGTTTTCTTTATAAAAGTGATTTGAACAAACCCGATTTGATTTTTTAAACACTACACCTAAAGCTACTTCCCATTTTTTTTTATCTTCTTCATCTTTAGGTATTCMAAATGTTATTTTGGAAACTTCGTGGGGCCTTTTTATACAACAATTGTATTACACTATTGACTAAAATGTCTTAAAGTTAATGAGTAGTACTGTTTTAATATTAATAGTAAATAGATAATAGTAGTTACTAATTATAGTACTTGGTAGATACTATAGTTTCTTAGTTGACAAATTTACGCGGTTGAAATAAGTTGAGAAGACCACTAGATAGTGCTACTTGTCAGTACATGTACAATCGCGCATTTCGAGTCGCGTTTTACAATTTCGATGTGTAACCAGTATTATCTTTAATCGTGCTATTATTGATGGGAATTTTAATAGTTTTATTCTACAATAAATTATGGGGCCTCGCATTTCACAATCTAGATATTGCATAAGRCCTCGTAAATCGTAACGACGGCCCTGAATCTAAAACGGCCATCAAATAGTAATCAACTGGCAAGAATAAACAAAACGACTAACAACGTTAAGTTATACAAAGGAAGCGGTTTTACACATATTTCAAAAATCAGTCAAGTGTAAACAACACGTTCGATAATCAACCTGTTGGTCGAAGACAGGTTTACTCGACGAATGTACAAACAAACCACCAATCAGAAGAACGCAAGGGCCGGTCGATGCGTATAAATAGGAGTGCATTCGACCGACCAGACATCAATAATACCTTCTCCACCTTTCTATACTTCATAACCAGTACAAACACTCATTGCTGATGTCTATGAAAAAATGAGAAACCATCAGCTATCGCCGAATACCTATCGAAGCTGRTCACTGCCACCGGTGATTCTCAAAGATATTGGCGAACCTCGAAATATCGATCAGGAACCAGGTTACGGTAAAGCGATCCAGCATTAATATCGATTGACGATCCAGTACTGCCGTCCGCAACAAGAGCGGAGGATACTGCTGTCTTCAATTGCGGCCAAGGAACGACCACCATCTACTGCTTCAAAACCTCTAAGGGTTAGTCGTATGAGTAGTCGTAAGACGTTTTGAGAGCCGATATCCTGGTCAAAGCCACATTCACGTAGTCAGCGGCTGAAGCGAGTTCATTCCGCCTGACCGTAYGACAGTGAGCCAGCTTGTCATACCGTCAACTCATACGGACGKTTTAGTAYCCGCTTAAAGTTAGCAGCACAACTATGACAGGCACTCATGAAACACATCCAACAAACTTGTTAGACATTGTTTGATCAATCTCAGAATTTGTTGGAGATTATTTTTGCCGGTAGAGCTTTCGACACTTTTGTGCTGCCAAATATACTACAACAGCACAACTTTATGTTAAATCTCACCCCTATAAAAAATGTCAAGCGTGATTTGTTAGACATTGTTGGACCAACCTGACAATTTGTTGGACGTTATTTTTGCGGGGAGAGCTTTTACAACCTTGCAGGCAGCAAAACTTAGAACTCCCTGCGAAAATAATGTCCAACAAATTGTCAGATTGGCCCAACAATGTTCAACAAATCGCGCTTGACATTTTTTCAGGTGTAAAATTTTGCCGACATAAAGTTGTGCTGTTGTAGTATATATTTAGCAGCACAACTTGGAAAAAAGCTCTCMCTGCGAAAATAATGTCCAACACATTGTCAGGTTGGTACAACAATGTCCAACAAATCACGCTTGACATTTTTTATAAGAGTGAAATTTTGCTGACATAAAGTTGCGCTGTCGTAGTTTATTTGGCAACACAAAAATGTCGAAAGCTCTACCGGCAAAAATAATGTCCAACAAATTCTGAGATTGATCCAACAATGCCCAAYAAGTTTATTGGATGTGTTTCGTGAGTGTCTGTCATAGTTGTGCTGCTAACTTTGAGAGGGTCGGTTTARTTAGATCTAGGACCCGCGATACAGAACGAGTTCGGAGCGTTGCGGTACATCGAACGAAGGATCAGTCAGCCACCCCGGATAGCCCGTCACCGCCACTCGCCAGACCCCGAACGCCACTGTCGGGAGGAAAACCGTTTGAATAACAGGACGAATAAAATAGCCCTTTTAGGGCTACCACGACGTTAACCAAGCGCTCCTGTCTAGACCACGCTGTCCGGGCGGACCCGCGAGCCAATGTGCCACTTCTCTGAGCGGGCTGGACGTGGTAATCCGTACCCTTCCCTCATTGTATGATACATTATAAATCCTTGCAATCGAGTGCTATTAATATGATCATATTTTATGATACACATTTCATCTAAAATTGGCCCACAAATTTATTTTTTTCCTCRCCTTAAATTTTAACCGCTTTCAAATATTCATCAGTAAAATCAGGACTACCATTAACAGTAGTATACTACTTCCGTATGGTACTGGGGTGAGGTAAATTTTTGTTAAATAAAACTCTAAAATAACTATAGGTTGCACGCAAATCAAAGTAAAAAGTCACTGAAAATGTTCGTACTTCTGATGTAATTTTACTTTAGGAAGTCATATTAAATTCACTCTCAGAGTCTCAACAGCAAGTAAACTCTCCTATTATAATGAAATTAAGACAAATATGATACGTATAATTTAATATTAATCATGATTAATACAATTTACAGACAGTAACAAAACAATCTAATAATTCATAGTATTTATAAAAATTAAATCAAATTAACACAAAAATAGTACATCACATTCTTCTATATATTAAGCATGACGTGTTATTATTGTAAACATAAATTTTCACCAATTGCTATACTTGCTGAAATAATTAATGATTGAAATTCTTAACTTCCCAATYCATTACTCGGAAACATGAAATATATAAACCACACCGAAATCAATATTTTACATATCTCAACTATCAATTAATATTTTACCAACATTAATAATTGAAAATCAATTTTCGATAATAACTTTTTTCTATTTTTTCGATGATCAATAAATTACTTAGAATATTCACTTTTTTCAACAAATTTTCATTTATTTGGTGAAATGATAAAATTATTTYTTGTTTTTTGTTTTATCATAACATTCTGTGATACATACCAGTACTTTAATCAAGGAGTAATCTGGAGTATCAATGTCGTCAACAGTTTTAAAATTTCCCCAAAATCCTTTTAGTTTTCTATGAGAAGATAACACATAATAAATAGTAGCTGTATAATGTACAGCTTGTACTTGTTGTTTCATAATGCTATTATTACAAAACTCTATTAATGTATAACACTTTGAGTTTATTATAGTTGTTTTTTACCTTTTTAAACTAGTTGGCGTAGTTATAAATGATCCTTCATTTTTAAATGATTTTAGAACATCATAATGCACAACACAATTATTTGATAGTTGAGTTTGAGAAGTACTTAGTATACTAAGTTTGTGATCGTTTCCTTCTACAAATTCATAATATGAACATTATAATCTCTGACTTCAACCATATTATTAAATGTAGATGCTGACTGGTCATTGAAAGGAAATAGTATTGATGTATCTATAATAATATAGTAAGAATTAAGAATTGCTGTTTAAGTTTTTATTTTTAATTAATTATCACCATATTTATTAAAAACAGATGGCACTGCATCGTTTTATAACCAAACTRAGTTATTTAGTCTAGTAAAAGATACTCTCAATAAAAAGTAAGCTTCACTTCTAAAACGAAACACAAAAATAGAAAATGACTTATGTATTTTGAATTTTAAGTCATGCTGACAAATTGAGTAATCAGTGGCTCGTCAGGGGAGTCTTTGAGACGGTGACTCCACATAATAAAAAGTAGTAACAAAATAAAAAAGTTTGAAGAAAATTGTATTATAATTTAATATTTTTATCCATTTAAAAAAAWAATAATAATYAAGGTTTTTAATATTAAAAGTGACACTATAATATAATATTTGTTTTCTATTTTTACATTAATAATGAGAATACGGGTGTCATTCAATAATAATACGGGCGAAAAATATCGATAAYAATGACGGTTGCTAGTTCGGGAATCTGCCGATTAAGAGACTCAATTGTATATCCAAATTTCATATGTATGACAAAGCTTAGGAGGGGGGTAGATTGTATAGATGTTATTCAGTACATTGAGACTAGACTCATTCAAAGTTTCTGCCGTTCGCATCGCAGTCGTCACTCGTTACGTACTTTTCAGTTAACACCTAAAATCTACAGCGTGTCGGCCGTGTCGTATTGTCGTTCATCCGTATTAGACGAATGAATTTAGTTATTCGACATTGTATCGTCCCGTGTAGTAATGATATTATTATTATTTATTATTGATATAATACACAAGTCACAAACTTGATTATAATATAATAAATTACGTTATAAATTGTCAGTCTCCCCAATGAATTTAATTGCGAGCCACCACTGGATATAATACATTTTAATCAAGGRTCTTAATTTTTGGCCATCCAGACTGAAAAATGCATCATATTATACAAAATATTTACTATCCATCATTGCTTGTATTTTTTGGTTTTACATGTAATTATAATTTAAAGAAAAAAACTTTAAAATACCTACTTATGCATCTTAATTCCTTGTCCCGATGTTGTGTTACAACTTTTTACATTGCGATATTGCACGATGGTTTTTTATAAAATAGAGCTAAAAACCTAAAATACTGATGTAGAGTATGAAAGTATTATTAAAATTTTCAGTTAAAGTTTACGCCTAAAAGTTGAAGAAATAGGAAATAGTTCAAATGATTTAATTTTTTTTTAACTGGTTGTCAACTTATGATAACCAGATAACATTGATTGATTGATGACACATCACGATTATACAACGTGGGCGAGATCGGCGGTCAGAACTCGTTACGCCATAGTTCCATTAACTGCCGAGCGCTGCTAGTCAGACTACTAGCAGCGCTCGGCATATAATGGAACTACGCCGTAACGAGTTGTGACCGTGCGGTCGTGTACAAATTTTACTACCTAAAACTAACATGACCTTTATAATCCTGTGACACATTAAGTCATCATGGAATAAAATTGTTGTTTTTTCCAAGATTTCCAACGGCTAGCTCTGTCTCTTTTACTTTATATCCACATGTGATTTCTCTCTCTATGCGCGGTTATATTTTGTTAATAATTGGTCCATGGAGATATTATTATAATATAAGAATATTCTTAGTATTTTGGTGATTGGGGACAATAACATTTACGTTTGGCCACACTGCACTACTGCACTCTTATGCGATAACGATGTTTAACTTCTTTTTTTATTAAGAATTTTTTTCTTTTTCTTCGTTTACGAGGTTTACACACTACGCCATTACCACAGTCCACAGTTCACACTGTTCACAGGTACCAATAGTCAAGTCGTTACTTATATTGTTTCTATATTAGTTTATAATTGTCTTTCTTAAAATTAATAAAGTTGTTTTGCTAAGGTATTCAAAGGTAACAGAAACTCAAATACGTTATTATATTCTAATTACTTATCTTGGTATCTCAATATTTACATCTATCTTAGTGCGCTATCTGATTTCATATTTATAACCTATGTTAAAAATCATCCATCATGGTTCGACCAACAATTACAGGCGCGATTTATATATTTAATTTCAACGATACATTATCTTCGACATAGGTACCCACTCTCAATGAGTTGCACATGCAGCTAGTATTTCTCTCATAAAATATTAAAATATAAGAATCTATTATAGCAATCAATGTTTTTTTTTTTTTTTTAAAAGACAAAACTATAAAATACAAATATTTTTACAGTTGATGAATTATAAAAGTTTATTTTTAATTTAACTACTATTATGAATAAAATTCAAGTAATTAATTGAATTAWTTGTTTATATTTTCAGATAAAATGATGCGAAGAGCTCACATAAGAGATTATTATGATCCACCGCCTTCAAAGAGTTTGCATGGTAGCGAGCTTATTCAAATAGAAGATGAAGATTTGCCAGAACATCTAAAAGATAAGGTGAATATTTTGAAGTCTCTCTCAATTGATATCGGTTCAGAATTAAAATCCCAGGACCGCTTACTAAGAGATATGGATTACGATTTGGAAACCACCGGAGGATTTTTGAGTAACACACTTGGTCGAGTTACAAGACTTTATGGTTATAGTGGTGGCTACAACAAACTATACCTAATCTTATTTAGTTTGATAGTTTTTTTTATATTATACATATTTTTAAAATTGAAATAAAAATCTGTAATGTATAATATATTTATTATTATTTACTAATGCAATTGAGAATAATTAAAACTCCATGCTATTGAAGTACCTGTGTATCTGTATAATGATAAAAAGGTTTAAATTTTTCAATAAATTAACATCAGATTTTACTTTTTATATTTTTTTCTTATGTTTGCTTAAACATATCCAAAGCATTCCATTTATGAATTTATGAGTTTATAATAAGGTATTTTTTTAAATAGGTATGTAACTARACATTTTAAAATAAAGAATTGCTCAGTATAAAAAATAACACTATTTTTTAATGAATTAAATACTATTATGTTATATTACAGAATATTTTCAAGTGAAATATTCTTTTTATTCTTATAGATAACCCTACCATCGTTATTCTTATCTACGATAAGTAAACATTATATACGACTACAAACTTGATATCTAGTATGATGTGTATGTCCAAGAGCTTCGCCATGATTCTAAAGGAGTTGGGGGTTGAGTATTAAACAAACAAAGTTTTTTACAGTTTTTATAAATAAATAAAACATTTATGAGGGGAAATAAGGTAATGGAAACTTTAAGGAAACAAACAGGAAGACTATTAAACAGCAAAACATCTCGGGCTACGCCACTATATAATATATAGTATATATGTGTATCATACACAACATTAATAAAATTTAAACATAATAAACTTTGTGGTTATTTCCAAATTCTGTAGATACCTTTATTTATTGTATTTTTTTTTAGATTAGTAATATTACCATTATGAAAATTCAAATTGTGTGTACTGACTGCACTGTCACAAGCACAGGGATGCTAAGGGTGCTTAGCACCCTGAATTTTGATGCTAACACACTAAATTTCATGATCATTTTAATTTTTAAATTATAACTAAAAATCGTGAATACGTATTCTAGGTGCACAACAATTATCCACGAGGAAAGAGGTTTGGAAAGGTAATCCTTAATAGATGTCTACTGTAATTACATATTTCTAGTATAATTACAGTGAAACTTCTATATTACAATGAACTTTTCTAGATAAAAAAAAAATTATTCAATTAAATATTTTTGAGAAGCAAATGGTTTTTTATTTTTATTTTACTAAATTTTCTATAATACAAATTTTTTTTGTTTCTTATAAGACTTCATAATATGGAAGTTAAGTTTTGCATATTATAAAACATAATTTGAATCACATAAATTGTTCTAAAATATAAGTATGGCTAGTGCAGTGAAATACCTTAAAAGATGCATTTAAAATCTCAATAAATGTAGTAGTCATATATCCTGAAAAATTAATTCAAATATTAACGTATACAAATCTATCAAGATGTGTTAAGAAAAAACTATAAATTTAATTATTTTTGACCATTTACAAAAATTTATAAAACAAAAATTAACAAATACCAGTAAAAAGTTTTTAATAAATATGATTTGTAAAAATATCAACAAAATAAGTAAGTAATAAAGAATTAAAAATTGACTATAAAATGCCTAAAATTCAAAAAATTATTTTTAAATTACAAAAATGATTCTAAATTGAGTTTAATTGTACTTAATTTAAACTTAGTAATTATGAAAGTTATGTTTTACAATAATCTAAAAAGAATGGATTTTCCTAAAAATGTACAGCACTATAGAATATTGATTTAAATCTTTATTTTTTATTTATAGAGATCTCAAATTTAACAGATATAAGGTGGAATATACTAAGCCATAACAGGCTTTGCTTCTTCCAAAATGTCTTTGGTGCTTAAGTCCCTTGATATTTTTGAGTGATTTGCACCTATGGTATTGAGTATATATATATATATATATATATTTATTATATACTTTATACCTATGTATTTAAATTACAATTGAATCATATCCACCAAATTTATGTTTTAAAACTTTTAGTCAATAGTAATTTTTCAATTCTAAAAACAGTTGTTCAATACAAAATTAATATAATTATTAGAGTAAATCAAGTAGTCCAAAAAAATGATAAGGACATGTGCTGAAACTAATCTAAAATCTTATTAATTACAATTCTGTTGTCTAAGCCATTAGCCAAAATCTGTGCATATTGCTTATTATAAATTATTTAAACTAAGCAAGCATTTTTGTTTTTTTGATCTTGAAATTATTAATAATTTCTGCTTCGACATCCGAGGCCATTAGCATTGCATTTAATATTATACTAGAAAAAATAAAAATAAATATAAATATAAAAATGAATAATTACAGTTGTTAGTTTTAAAATCTTATAATAATTGGAGAATTTGTGTTGTTTTGAAAAAATGTGAGGTGCTTACTGCTTACTTCTTTGTCTTGGATTTGGACCAAGACTTGTTCCGATGTCATAACTTATGTTTAATTCTTCTCTTAATTTTTCAATTTAAACTTTTATTGAGCTATTATATTGTGATCATCTTTATGATACTGGTATTGACAAGACATATTACACAACACACACACACACACACACACACACACAAGAGTGAGTAGGTAGTGATAACTAGATTCTAAATCTAACATTTTTCCACTATATTCATGCATGACAACAAATACCTACTTTGAAACAACAACATTTTATATAGTATTTTGTATAATTTGCAAACAATTAGTTTGTCGTGACTTATGAATCTACTTCTATTTTTTAGTTAGTAAGCATTAAATTTAAATTCCATCTCAATTAATATCTCTAATATTCTACACATAGGTATATATAATAAAATGACTATTCTTGTTAAAAATTAAACTATAAAATTTTAATGTAATTTTCTTATAGGTACTTACCTTAAATATGTAACTAGAAATGTTTAGGTATTCATTTATATTTTTGCATCTRATTAATATATTTAGAAAGTATTTTAAATGTAAATTAAAAATAATTTTAAATCAAATGTATTAAATTAATTTTAGATTAAAATCCAAATTATAAATTAAATAACCTTTATATCTGCCAGCTATACCACAATTTAAAAGTTATCACAAATACATTTTTATAAATTCACATAAAGTAGGTAGGTTAGGTTACCTATTGATACCTATCAAACTCTATCTATTAAAATTAAGTTAACCAATTTTAGACTAATGACTGCATAGTATAACTCTATGTAGGTAATAGGTTATATTATAGCCTCATCGACTACTGAAGTAGGTAGTAAAATATCAACAAACAAAATGATCTCAACAATAAATGCACACTGAGTAAAAGCCAAAATGGATARGGATAATAGCATAGGTGTGCGCAGACTTTCATTGCAGATGCAGCATATAAAATTAAGCAGCCCATTTTTYAAYAATYRGCCAAATAAATGTTGAATAGTCAAAATTATAATTATTGATCATATTATACACAGGCAGTGTTATTGTTACCTAAGTGGTTATAATAATATCATTTTTTTTTTTTAACAATTGACAAATGTTCACATACAAAATTTAAGGAAACATTTGCATGTTCACTGCTTTTGAAAGCACCAAGTAACAATTACTATCAGACTTTATTAGTCATAATATAAAATAATTATATTATTTATGGTTCGCATCAATTTTATTTACTTATTAATTATTATAATTTATATTAAATTATTAAATAGGTAATKAATTGCCCCGACCGGYCCATAGACTAATCAATCGGCCCAAAAAATGTGGCAGATGCAGCATATGAACCTTCTGCTGCACCATGCGCACGCCTATGGATAATAGGAATTACTAACATGATTTTACATTTAAAACTTGGGAAGTTTATTATGGTTACTGATTACATTTTGATAATACATAGATATAGCCAAGGTGGATTTATAATTGATAATTTAATATTTATTTATTTATTAGGTAATTTATAATTGATTAGTAATTAATTTATAATATTAATCTACCTTGAATACAGTGGTAATAGGTACCTATACAGAATTGCTGTGATGAGGTTTCATATTTTACTTTTACATATTACTCGTACCGAAACAATTTGTAAGAAACCGAATTAATGTAGAGTACATTTATATTATTATCTACATTAATTAATCTAGAAAAAAATAGACATTCGAGTAATCGACATCAATATTGTYGAATATAATATTATTTTCAAAGTGTGACTACAACTTATGTAATCGATTATTATCATAGTCAGCATTAGAGAGGCAGTGTTTCCGTGTATTTGGCATTTGCCATATAGGTACCTTTTACAGTCTAACCTAACCTTTTAAGCCGGATTCACAGCTACGTCGTGTCGATCAAGCCACATTCTGATTGGATTTGTCACTTTTAATATGGAGGTATAACGTATAACCAAGTTAAAACCGAGGATACTAAGAATTGAATACAGCTCGACTTTTAAACCGACATAGTATTACCATTATAACCATAGTCACCAMATCCTCGCAGGACACTASACACGACGTAGCTGTGAATCCGTCTTTACACTAAACAAAACAATAATCATTAGGTAGGTGTACCTAACCTACCAGTATGCAGCACTAACCTACTATATTATTATATTTCACGATTTTACAAACGTTTTTGTGTAACGTCGTTAATTGCCACACTTTATCTTTGACACCTAGATACCTAATATTAAAATAGAAGATACTATAGATATTTAAAATTCATCTTGGTGGTCAATAACATATTTTGATTTTGTCATTACTCGTTATATACTGTGATGGTGATAGGCATATTGTTCAAAATGTTAAGAGGACGCTACGGACACTACGGCCACACRCATATTTGCTGTTTCCGTCTTACAAATGCGTACCTAATATGGTAAATTTACACTTAGCAGATCAGGTTTGATTCCGTTAGYTTAAAAATATTTTWAATTGATCTATTATGAAATTGATGGCAAGTACATTATCTTAACACAGACAGTGTGTTTGTWTGTGGGTTTTTTAATTTTTACGATAACTTAGTTTTTAAGTGAGTWGTGAGCATTTTGAATCTACATTTTTTAATATACAWAGGTACACTTAACCTAATATAAAATTGAACTATCTTAAAAAAAAACTTTTAAACAAACACAGACAATGTCTTT